AAAAGAAAACTGAGTGAACTATATAACGTTAACGAAGGCCCAGAAACGAAATCACTCAACAGCACAGGACTGCAAGCAGCAGGAGCAATAGTGCACTTTTTTCCTACAAAATAAATTATTGAAAGGGTCATGTGATTCTTAACAGGCAGAAAGATCCACTTTCCCAAGGAAAATTCATCATTAAATATATTATTAAAGACTGGATCTTCTTCAGGCTATTTTTAATCCTAACATTTTGCTGCCAAAATTGGCCATAGCAGCTGATCCTCGGCCTCGATAAAAATGATGCTCTTCACGGAAGTCATAGGCGGCATCAGGAGGATGCTGCCGTCCAGTTAATCAAATGTGCTGTTGGGCACAGTCTGAATGCAGAGGAGAGAGCTGGTGTGGACTGCTTGCAACTGACTAACACAAAGGAAGCCGAGATCCATGCAGGAGTTCATCCCTACCTTCCTAAACCGCCCAAAACAAAAGATTTCAGGAAAAAAAAAAAAAAAAATGGGGCCATCATTTCATTACAAGAATGAAGCGAAACAATCTCTGTGTGAACCAGCTCACGCTTTCAGGATTCACAGACTACTGTCTCCTGAGACGCAGAGCTGAGTGCTGCTGTAGTCCCAGTGCAGAGGGTGCCAACGACTTCCACTCACCATCACCCTGTCCACATCTCAACGCTGGCTTGCGAGAGCCCCTTTGTTCTGAAGGCGTTTCAAGGCCACTAAACTCATTTACAGAATTAAACCATGTTACAAAGAGATAAAATAATAACTAACTAACAGGGTTACGAGAAAAGCTAGCCCTCCAGCTTTCGGGGCAGAAGTGCTCGTTTCAGTTGGGCCAGCGGTGCCGACACAAACTGCATAGCCAAAAACGAAAAATCCCTGCCACTGAGTAGATTCTGACTTACAGTGACAGTATAGGACAGAACAGAACTGCCCATAGGGTTCCCAAGGCTGGAATCTTTACAGGAGCAGACCACTACATGGGTTTGAATCACCGACCTTTTGCTCAGCAGCCAATGCTTAACTACTGTGTCACAAGGCATCTACAAATTGTATAGCTACCATGAAAAGCATTCTCAGGAAGGCGGGGTGCATTTATCTCCTATCGCGCCTTTATTTCATTCAGTCAATTTCTCCTGAGGCCAGAGCATTCCGGTGGACATCCAGAAAATATTCAGGAGTCCACGTGATTCTGTGGACTTCGGGGCCACCGGAAAGGGCTACTTGCAGGGTTCCATCCCCAGAATCAAGTGTCTCAGTCAGTGCACGAAGCATCTGGAGAGCTTGTTACCACCGGCAGTGACTCAGGAGGTCTGGGGTAGGGTCTGAGCTGCCGCATTTCTAACAAGTGCCCAGGGATGCCCGTGCTGCTGGTCCACGGACCACACTGTGAGCAGCCAGGCCTCCGACTCCGTCTAGGACTCCGCCTTCTTGCTGCTCCCTCTGCCCTGAGTTTCTCTGGATGCCACACAACACCTTACTCAGACTTGTAAATAGAGGCATCCTCCACCCTCCAGCCATTCTCTTCTTCAGTCTTTATTTCATTTTCAAATGAACCTTCTATAAGGAGCTCTGGGACCCTCTATAAAGAGCTCTGGTGGCATAGTGGTTAAGGTATTTTGGATGCTAACCAGAAGGTTGGCAGTTCAAACCCACGAGTTGCTTTGAGGGAGGAAGATGAGGCAATCTACATCTGTAAAAATTTACAGCTTTGGAAGCCCAAGGGGGGTCGCTATGTTGGAATCGACTCAATGGCAGCGGGTTTGGTTTCTTTCTGGTGGGACCAACTTCTATCAGAAGCCTGTCATCCCAGGCCCTTCTTTGTTTGCTACAGAACATGGAACACAAACACTTTTCCTCAACCTCACTTCCGACTTTGCATAAGCAGCAAAGAAAAAAGCACCTCCAAGTCTAGAGCCCTGATTAGTGTAATAGTCAGTGTATGCGCTGATCCCCAAGTACTGGGAACTCAGATCACTGTCACATGCTCACAAACTATGTGAACTCCTTCTAAACGTTACTGTTGTCGAGACGACTTTCTCCTCGTAAGACGCAGCATGTTATTACACGAGCAACCCTGATGAGCTGAAACCTGGACGACGCTCTGTCCGTATGCCCAAGCCCTAAAATGCAACTTCGGGTTAATAACACACATTCAAAATAATAGGTAAACCATTTGGATCTCTCCAGTACTACCACTTTTATTCCAAAGTGTCCATATCTGATTGCATTTCCTGGTGCATGCTTCTTTTCCTTGCCAAATTCCTTAGTATTTCCTATAGAGCCATCAATCTATGTGTTGTTCTGAAAACTACTACATGTTTTACCGTTAGCCAATTATGCTTCTCTATGATTTATTTTTACTTTAAGAGGTTTCATCAAAAAAAAAAAAAAATTTATCATGTTCTACAGTCTGTCATTGTGGTTTGGCATCATAAAATGTAGCCTCTCCATTCAACAACCTCAGATACCTGTGGACCACAGAGATACGCTCAACTATAAAATCTCTTATTTTGGAAGGAGGACAAAGGAAACCTTCACTTAAAAAGAAACCTCAATCATATGAGATGTTCATATACTGCAAATGAAGGACAAAGACCCAGATGCTATCTTGTTACTGTCATAAACAAAGCCCTCTGTTTCCCACCCTTTGATTCAGTTACTTGATAGATAATAGTTACCACCTTGGATTTCTTCCAACTAGAAAGGAAATTTTTAAAATGTAATTTTAACTATTAAGTTTTACTTTGGTTTTAAAAATGACCCTTTTGGAATGTGGAAGCCTCTACTTCTTTGATGATGATGATGATGATGATGATGATGGCTTTGGGGAAAAAAAGAAAAAGCCACTGACTGTACCAAATACTTAGTGCAAATATTCTTTCCATCCTTGGTGAATTCCTCCAGAATTCTTGAAGATTAATAATGTGGGGTCTCCACAAAGGAAGCAGCAAGTAATTCACAAACACATTTAGATTCCAGAGATGTAAACAGGGATACCAAAAACACCAAACCTACTGCCATCAAGTCCATTCCAACTCACAGCGACCCCCACTGGGTTTCCGAGCTGGCAAATCTTTATGGAAGAAGATTGTCCAGTCTTGCTTTCACAGAGTGGCTGGTGGGTTTGAACCACCAACCTTCTGGTTAGCAGCCAGATGCCTTAGGCACTGTGCTACCAGAGCTCCTTAAACTGGGGTACATTAGTTAACTTTAAGCATTCAACAGAGGCACCAAAGCTTTTGTCCACTTTGGTCAAGGCTCCGAGGTTCAAGTTGGCCATCTCCTTTTCTTGGCCTTTTCTCTTGGGCCCCTTAATATTAGTATGTTTGAGAAAAGGTGAAAACATGCAGTGTGCTTCTTGTGTTTCTTGAATTCGCATCCACTTGTAGTCATTTCCAGACTTTTTGTTCCCCTCAAGGCCTATACAATAATCCCATTAGTAATCCTCCCAAGGGACAAGAATGGGAAGCAATGAATTGCATCCTTTTCCAAAGATCAGCCTTCAGATTAAAACAAAGGTCCTAACATACCCTCAGACAAGAACTATTCTTTTACTTTTTGGTAATTAGTCAGGTCAGATGCAGATTTTAATTACAATCCTTGAGTGCCAGGATCTGCACCCCTCCCCCTAACAAGTCATGGGAAAGAACTGCATGACAAAATGATGGAAATTCCATCCAGCACCAACCCAAACCCCAAACCCACTGCCTTTGGGTCAATTCTGACCCATAGTGACCCTAGAGGACACAGTAAAACTGACCCAAAGGGCTTCCAAAGCTCTAAATCTTTATGGAAGCACACTGCCACATCTTTCTCAAGCATCTGGTGGGTTCAAACTGTCAACCTTTTGGTTGGCAGCCGAGGGCTTTAATCACTGTGCCATCAGGGCTCCCTCTATCTAGCATGTTGTTGTTGTTGTTGTTATGTGTCGTCAAGTCAAACCCGACTCATAGCGACTTTTCTTTGGTTTCCGAGGCAGTATCACTATGGAAGTAGGATTGCCCAACCTTCCTTCCGAGGAGTGGCTGGTGGGTTTGAACCACCAGCCGTCTGGTTAGCAGGTAAGTGTCTTAGCCACTATGCTACCAGGTCCTCCTACTCTATCACCTCACAGGTGTTCTTCATAACTGCAGGTTATCAATCACTTCAGCTCATGGCAAGGCATGAGAGAATCCACAGCTAGAAATCAATTCACAGAAGAGAAGACAAAATGCTGTGGGTTCTAGGTGGTGACAAACAAGACACTAAAATTCTAGTCGACTTTTAAATCACACTCTCACTATACATTAGACTGTCAGCAATGAGTTAAGGTCAAGGTTGATGTTCTTCAAGACATACTGTCATGCCCACTAGGAATGTGACACACATTGTAGAGTGAAGTCCAAGGACTTCTGGGATGTAACTTACTTCTTTACAAACACAGCTAAGTTTTCCAGAGAAAGGGGTATACTGGTTTTCCTCGTTGGGTAAATTTTACCAAGTCAGTCAAAGACTGCCCTTGGTGGTCTGGTGGGTGGTGTGGTTCTCACCGCCCACGGAAGAATCCCTCAGCGGGGCTTGTTTCCACGCAGAGCGCCCCAAAGCAACCCTGGGTCTGCTTCATGAATGGCCCCTGAAATCTCCATCAACAAGCTAACTGCGCCAGGTCATCGGGATGTGGGGGGTGCTGGACCACAGCCTGAGAAACACTCAAGGGGTCCGGTTTGTCCCAAGATCCTACTGGAGAGCCAACGCTGGACCACTGAACTTCACCCACCACCAGCAGGCAAGTATCACTGAAGGGGTGTCGGGAGAAGCCTTGGAGGGAGGAGGAGGGAGAGAGGCAGGAAGGAAAGTAACCCGGTTGAAAGAAACACGCTTTGATGGTTACCTGCGGCAGGAGGGAAAGTAACCTGGCGTTGTTTTACTGGCTCAGCAGCCTGCCCTGGACCCAGGCGTCCACCCACCCGCCAACCACGGCGCCCCGACCTCAGACCTCAACACACGGGCACCTACCCAGCCGCCGTTATCCTGGATCCAGGTGTGCAGGTGCCGGTTCAGGTACTCAGTCATCCAGAGGGCGATGTTGTCCACCAGGGGCGACATCTCCCGGTTGACGCTCTCTACACACATGACCCCACCGAACTCAAAGAAGGCCACAATCCTTCCCCAGTTGACCCCGTCCCTGAAGAGCTCCTCCACCACAGTGGCAAAGCGTCCCCTCGCCGTGAAGGGGGTCAGGTGCAGCTGGCTGGACATCTCGGCGAAGTCGCGGCGGTAACGCCGGGAGAAGTCGTCGCCGGCCTGGCGAAGGGTCAGGTGGACCACAGGTGGCACTGGGCTGAGCGCCGGCTGCGCGGCGGGGGCGGCCGGAGGCGGCGAGGTCCTGGAGGCAGGGTCCCCGGGCGCAGCCGGCGGGGAGGAGAGGACGCCTGGCGCGGGGGCGGCCCCGGGGAGCGCGGCGCTCGCGTCGCCGGCCTCCCACTCGTAGCCTCGCTGCGCCAGCTTGTAGTGGATGTACTTCATCACTATCTCCCGGTTGTCATACCCTGTTCTCCCCGCGTGCGCCATCCTGCCCGCTCGGCCCACTCCCACCCCGCGCCCCCGAAGAAGGAGAAGAGTTATAATCCGGCGATTTTATTGGAAGTGTTTCGCATTCTTGGAAGAGGGGGTGTCTTCAGTCACGCGGAACTCTTGACTCTGGGGGTTTCCCCCTTGGCATGGGATGCAGGAAATTTTTATTGAAATTCCTTTCGGATCTTCATGGCATGAGGCACATTAGGATGATAAATAATTGGACTGCCAGTTTACTTCCTCCACGATGCTGAAAAGTTCAAAAGCCTACAGAAAGCTTATGAGTCCAACTCAGGTGTATTTTCCTTTATACACCAGGTGCAGGCAGGACACACACACTACAAGTTACACAGCTCAAAAGAATGCGCTCAACAGCCTGCAAATGCAACTTACTTGAATGCACTTCAACTTAAAATCGCAAATGTTTCCCTCAAAAGTTACTTGAAGCCCATTTCCTGTGCAAAGAACTTACTTGTATTTTTTAGGGGCAGCATGATCCTCTGTCAAGCTTCCTTTTTTTCGTACAAACAAACGCATAAGGCAACGATCCCATCGGTCTTCCGAGCTCTGCAGTTCAAGCCGCTGCGAAACTTCCAAAGGAATGGGGGGGGGGGGGAGGCTGTAGTTAAAAACCAGGAGAATTTCCAGAACGATCCGCAGACCTCTGCCGCACAGAAATGTCAGTCGGTAGGAATCCCCATCCGAGAGCTCGAGAACACGAGGGAAAAGGCAGCGGCGGCAGATGAATTACAATTTTCAGTCCGGTATTTGCACAAGTCCTGCGAGGTCCCCTCTGGGCAATTTCCACGCGCGCACACCCCCCCCCGCGCGCGGGCACAGGCGTCGCCCTCCGCGGGGCCCTGCACGCCTCCCCGGGAGAGGGACAGGCGGGGCGGGGACGCCGGAGGACCGGGCGGGGACAGGAGTCAGTCGGCTTCGGGTGGAACTGCGAGCCGCGAGTGCATTTCCCGGAGAGCCGCCGGAGCAACGCGGCGGCGGACGCCGGCCCGGGCCGCGCGCGAGCACCGCGCTGTGTGTGGTGCCGCGAGGGGTGGGGAGAAGGCGGGGCGGAGGCTTTATTTTTTCCCTCTTTTCCTAAAAAGGATGACGGCTACGAAGTTCTCCCCCCTGGACCCCCGCTTCCGCTGCACCCCGCGGCGCACCCCGCCTCCAG